TTTATTTTGCAATCGTCGGGTTATTTTTTTTTTCATTTTGGTTCAGTTAAAGTTTTGATTTCCCTGTGCACAGTAATAGGAATAAGAGGATATGGATATGCTTTCGTAAATTATCAACCTTTTTTCCTTTTTGGGACCTGCACAGTTTGACACTAAGTGATAATTTTGTGAAAGGCTTAAAGTTGATCTGATCTAACTGCCGCGTTTCGTTGATATATTTTGCTTTTTATATATTTAATTTCTGCCATCTGTGCAGCTAATAGCAGGACACTTTCACTCCCCCGCTTACATGACCTCCCTATCTAAACAAACTAATCAAACACGATGCACCTTAAATGTCTTGTTTCGTTCAAGCCTCTTTACGTCTTTACTTTTTTTCTTTTTTTTTCATCCTACTAGAGAAGGTCCATTAGTTTTGGAAATTTTTTTTAATTTGCCAGGAGCAAGCCTTTTTTTTTCAAATCTATATACATTATTTCCTCTCCACCATAATAAAAACCAGGATGGGGTGTTCTGGAAGTAAAACGAAGAATAGGGCCGCTGAAGAGCATCTTAACAGCAAAACTAACACGTTTCTTAACTTGGTGAATGACCAAAAGTCCCCTGTTGCCTGTGAGCTTTTTCAGGCATGGACACACTTTGTAGAAACGCAAAACAGAAAGCTCGCCGGCGCCAAGGTCCCAGACTGTCCAGGGGTCTCCAACCCAACTGAAGTGTGGGCCACCACAGAGAACAACCTCCTAACCCACCACTCCGTCGACCAGGTTGGAAAGGCGTTCCTGGAGTACGTCAAGAACGACCTATCACAGAGGGGCTGGGGGGGCAATTTTGACTACAAAGTTGTCGGTGTGGCGACCCAAGGTTTCCTGAGGGCGAGCGCGAATATTGATACAGGATACCCTGAGAGATCGGAGGTCATCTGGGCGGTCAAAATTCACTATCACAGTAGCGGCCCTGGTTGATAATCTTTTTTCTTATGTAGATTCACTGAATAGAGGTTTGAACAGTGAAAATATAATGTGATTCGTTAATCGAAGTGTAGGGTTTATTAGATTTATTACCTAATATTATATCAGTAATTGGGTATGCGTTACTATATTTAATATTATATAACTTGCAACCATTTAGCAGTACAAAGTTATGTGCACACGTGATTTTACTCAATTCCCTCATTTCTGCCTCGTTTGGTGCCTTCCACTGTCAAAAATGCGAGCAAAATATGGCTTCTTCGGAATGCATCTTTTTTTCCCTGTGATTCCCCCCCCCCCTCCCCATCTCGCAAAGGAAACATTTAGCCAATAGTAAAGATACTCTGCAAGCCCACTCGCATCAGGGGATGCGTCTTTTTATCGTTATCTCAGCCTGTCTGTGGGTTTTAGCACTTACGACGACCATTAGCATTTTACCGAGGGTCATCGATGCTGTTGTCGTGAAAGGCTTGCATGCTGGCGTCTCACATGGGCGCATCGGAATCCTCAGAACACTCGATTGTGTCGTGAATCTAACGCAGTACAGGGAGGCGGTCCCGTCACCTTTCTATACTTTGGCTAGTGTAAATTTGAAAGAGGACGTTAGTAATGAAATTTTCAGGTTTCTTGTTCAAAAATCATTTGATATCAACGGAGATGCTAGCTACAACTTCCATCCATTGACGGCTGCTTGTCGGAACGGCCATTTGAATATTACCAACTGGTTCATCACGGAGCCTAATACCATTCCTGAGGTCTACATGAACAGACTGTATTGTGATGACCTTAAAACTCTTTATCCAAACATCACGTTGGTCCTACAAAAGAATGAGATACGCAGGTGCGCATTTAGGCATCCTCAAACAACCTACTACTCATCAAGTAAACTCAAATCGTACTACGAAGCGACCTACAAACGGCCCCAGCCGTCCCATTTCATGAGTAACATCGACCCCGTTGGGGGGGTGCCGGATGTTGAATGGTGGAAAAATACGGCGCGGAACTTACATCCGCTGTTTGGAACTATTGACAAGCCCTGGACTGTGGTCAATCCTGCATACTTTCATGACTTTTTTAGTGTGTTGTTTTTCTATTTGTTATCGCCTCTAGACGATACAGTAAACTTACTAACCGTAGTTGCAGCGTTTGCTTTTGGCCTTATATGGTCTTATAGTTGGATAAGAGCTTTGTCACAGTGAAAAATAAAAGATCAAATAAAAGAAGAATTGTATAGACCATGAATCTAGAGAACCGAGAACCAAACTCAGTAAAGGAGTGTGGGTGTGATTAGACCGGTGAAGAATTTCATTGCCCTTCCCTACGCTTTTATATTTTTACAGATTATTGATTAAATATTAGAAAAAAAAATAAGCATCCTTTCCTCCTTAGAGGGGAATATAAGATTGGATACTTTTGAGTCCGCTGAAAAAAAAACCTGAAAAAACTCAACTGTAATATTTATTTCTTATCACAAGTTTTGCACCTTCTCAAAATAAATCAGTAAATCTAAATACATACCTTGGAAGGGATGATCCTGTCCTCTAAAGACAAAAGGGCAGTTCGAACCCTAATTTTGGCACTAGAAAAAATGGATGATTTCAAGCATAGTAAATCAGATACAGAGTCGTACGCGGAGTCTGTGGTACTCGCGGTAAAAAGTCGAGCCAGTGATGCCGACGAATTCAAAGATCAGATCATGGGCATCATAGCTAACGTTCGCAATCTTAACAACCAGATTGTGGAGCGGAAAATAACACCCGAGATGCTTGCCTCGATGGAAATCGACGAAATGCTCTCGAAACAACAAATAGAAGAAAATCTCAAATTCTCCCGCAAACGCGCGCGGGAGCAAACACTCTATGACATCACTTCCATGCAGTGTGGAAACTGTGGTCTTGTGCGGAGAGACCGGCTGAACATTAATGAGTTAGGCCTTGACTCGGAAATCAACGGATCGCAATTTGACTATAACTTCGACAACCTGTGCGCCTGTTCTCGCGATAGCATAGAGCCGGAGCAGACGGAAGACGAATCCTAGTCAGAAGATGAGCACCCCCGAATGTATGTTGTGTAAGGTATAATAAATTGTATCGATTTGAATCAACCTTCTTGTCAACGTTGGGATTTATTTACATTGGTATCATACATTATTACCACTGGTCTTTTGACCCGCAAGGTTTCCCCTTCTATATGAAGGTTCGGCTGCCGCTGCCAAAGATTTTTCGTCTCGTCGTCGTAAAAAAGGGCAGGAATTGAGAGTGTTCAGCAAGAATCTATACGTGAAACCCCAACTCAGCCGCTACGTTACCCTTTTTTAGTTTCATAAGATAATTTAGCCTTGATTTTCGCGTATCAGCTTGATTATCAGGGCGGTTAATCGGTACGAAGCGGGGAGATTCTTGGAACCCCTGGAAGAGGGCGACATAATCGTTTTCATCAAGTGTGCCGCGGTGGTACATCCCGGCGGGTATAATAATTAACTGAGAGGTTTGAAGATGGATTCGAATCCATTTTTCTCTGACGGATCGAATATCAAAATAGCAAGATCCATCTAAGACGAGACGCAGTTGTTCGTCCTCATTGTAATGCTCATTGAACCATCGCACCAGGAAAGTGTCATCTTTTGCCGTTTGTGATATCCTTACCTCATCTGTGTGTTTGTACAATCGCTCTTTTATGATTTGTTTGACAATAGAAAATTCGTTCAGGTTAATATAGAAGCAAACAATCCCAAGCTTGAATAGATCGCTCATGGTGACTGGCGGCGCATCCTGTTTGCGTCCTGGCTTGAAGCTTTGCATCGTTAGGGTCGACTTGGAGGTTTCATCGTCTAGGTACCACGCGCGGAGGGCATTCGGATCATCATCGTCCTTTATGGGCGGCGGAACGGGGGGAAGATCCTGAATGAGATCGGGGCCAAGTCGATTCCACTCCTCCTCCCGTCGTTTCTGCCGAATCTCCTCTTCCTTGATGCGCTCCCTCTCCTCTTTTTTCCTCCTTTCCTCTTCCTCCTCCGCCTCTCGCTTCTTTCGCTCCCATTCCTCCTTCTCCCGCTTTCGTTGCTGGTCGCGCATGAGGATTTCGGCATCCTCCTTCACATTTTCCTCTGTGTTTTTTTCCATGGTAGTATAATTGAAAAAAGTATGCTGATTTGCGAAAAAAAAGGAATTTACGCTTTGTAATAAGCCCCTATGATTCTACACAATCTTATCGGAATTAATGAAACCAATTCTAGAGTAAGGAATAAGGGGAAAAAGCGCAAGGGTACAAAAAACAAGCCATCCCACCATTTGGTTTGTGGTTGGCGTTCACCGGGGCGACTCCTGGCGCCGGGTCGTCCAACCCAACGGACCGCACGTTAAGCATTCACCCACATTCCGCATCCCTAACCAGGCGGAGTGCTTCCTTAAAGATGGCCCCCGCGACGCGATTATGGCCGAACAGCTCGTTCGAGATCTGCTCGAAGTCGTTGCTCAGCAGCCCCGCCTTCCGCGCCAGGAGCGTCCGCACGATGCGGGCGCGCAGCTCCTCCGGGGTCGAGTCCGCGTGCCGCGCGAGCTCCTCCAGGGAGACCTGGGCGTAGGCCCCCTTCCCTTTCGGCGGCCTGGGCCT